TAGAGAGAAACTCGTTCCTCTCACTCTAAGGTAGTCTGCCTGTTGTGCAGTGACATGGGACGTGCGTTCAAATGCAGCTCTGTCGTGAGTGCAGAAGCTGAACCCCGGTTGTTTTTGTTGTTGCAGAGATGTCTGGCACTGTGGCGGATATTTCCTTGGTGCACTGGAAGCAGCAGTGGCTGGAGAACGGCACCCTGTATTTCCACGTCTCCATGAGCAGTGCCGAGCAGCTGTCCCGGGCCACCCCACCCACCCTTCAAGAGCCTGCTGAGATCGTGGAGGAGCAGATGCACATTCTTCACATTTCTGTCATGGTGAGTGAATCCTTCTTCTCTTCCCTGCCCAGTCTGGGGGCCAAGAGGAGCAGCTGGGAGGGGCTGGTGGCCGGACGGGAGATGGGGGCGTTAAAAGGATGATCGGCCGGTTTGTCTCAGTCCAGCTTCCAGTGTGCAAATGTCTATATCCCCTAACCACCATAGCGGCCCCTGGTTACTGGGCTTTGGCAGAGCAAGGCAAATGACTGAATGGGCCTGGAAAATGAGTTATGCCTGTTTCTAAAGGTAATTCTCTCCAGGGCAGGGTGATCCATACGGACGCCTCCCTTCCCACTGTGTGCTGCGTATGGAACGCTCAGGGGCTGTCGGCAGAATGCTTCTCACCAGTGTTAAGTTCTGGCACGAGACAAGTTGGTGGGGCGAGTTAGTGTCTTGGTGCTTTTTTTTTTTTAAGCTGACGCCTACCCAGCACGTGGGTGTCAACTGTGGACTAATCCTGTGTTGTTTTGTCATTAAAAACCAATCTGATACTTACAGGGTTCTGGGAAAGCAGTTTCCACTTTACAAGCGTTTGGATCAGTCTGTTTTAGGTACTGAGGCCTCTGTTACCATTGGATCTGTGTCCTTATCCTTACAGCATCCTGTGAGACAGAGGAAGTGCTATTCTCCCCATTTTACAGATGGGATCTGAGGCACAGAGAGACTCAGTGACTTACTTGCCCAAGGAAAGTCTGTGGCAGAGCTGAGAATTGAACCTGGGTTTCCCAAATCCTGGGCTAAAGCCCTAACCACTAGGCAATCCTTCCTCCCTTAGCTGTTGTGGTTATGTTTGTGCTGCTCCTTCATTGCTGAGTGGCCTTGCTTGGTTGAAAACATAGACTGCTGAGAAAGTGCCCTCCAACTGCATTGCACGGCAGAGAATGCACGGAAAGGGCAATTGTAGGAAGGTATCTCCAATCCACGCCTGTTTAATGTACATGTTCATAGCTCAGAATTCGTGCATTGGTTCAGAACTCGTGCTTGCTAGATTTTTTCTGGGCTACTTGGATCCTTGTTTTCCACTTGAGCAGGGACTTGCTCTGCTTTCTTAAAAGATCAAACCTAAGCAAGTTAACTAAATGCATTACAGAAATGGGTTGTGGATTTAGATGGGACATCAAGTATAGGTAACTGTAAAAAGATATATTGCATTGAGACGTCTATATGAAGAGAGGGTGAATTGGCTGGGACTGCATAGAGAGGAGAGGAAAGAGGGCATGATAGAAGTATACATAACAACGAATGGGATGGAGAAGGTAAATTGGATGCTCTTATTCATAAGCAAAGGGACAATCAATGGAACTGAAAGACGACAAACCTAGAAACATGAAAAGGAAATCCTGTTCTTTCATAATGCGTAATTAACCTGTGAACCTCATTGCCACAGTACATCATTGAGGCCAAGAGCTTAGTTGGATTCAGAAAAGGATTAGACATTTATGTGGATAATGAGAACATCCACAGTTAATGTGAGAGGGGATCAATTTTTTAAAAGCAATATAAACGCTCATGTTTCAGGGCATAAGCCAACTGCTAAGTGGTCAGGGTTAGGAAGACACTTTTCCCGTGGGTAAATTTATGACATAATTGCACCTTCCTCTACTAAGCAGAGTTGGAGGGAGGACGTGGTCCAGGAGGGACCGTTGGTCTGATTTGGTGTGGTAGCTCCTAGGCACGTTCCCGTGTGGAACAGCCTGGAGGAATCGAGCAGAACTGAGTGAAACCCCAGTGCTGGGTTTCATTACAAACTTGAAACTTTGCCCAGTTTGGTTGAAAGATTCATTAACTTTTCAAGTGAACCCGGGCCAAGTTTTGAGTGAACGGGAGCAGATAGATGGTTTTTGCCTCAAAACCATGTGAAATTTACAGCTTACGCAAAACCAGGTGAAACGCTTTGATTTCAAGAGATTTTTCAACTGAGGGTGTGTTTTGCTCAAATAGCCGTAGGGCTGGTCTACACTCAGAAACGAAATTGAGTCAGCTACAGTGCTCATGGGTGTAAAAAAAAATCCACACCCCGAGAAGTTGGCTCAGCTACGTCGAAGTCCCATTTTTACAGCTCTAGGGGGTGGAAGAATTCTGCTGCTGCCCTAGCTCCTGCTCTCAGGGAGGTGGATTCACTACAGCAACGGGAGAGTCCGTCCTGTCGCTGTATTAAATTTCTGCACTGACGTGCAGCAGCAGCGCAGCTGTACTGTTTTTAGTGTAGACGCAGCCTTAGCTATGCCCTGCCTTAGCCCTCCCCCACCCTAAACCTACATCCCAAGGCAGCCTGATGTACGTGTTGTACCTCTTCTGCTACTCCAATAAAAGCCACATAACTATCCCGTACACTCCCTGCTGTGTCATCTGCCAGACCCCAGCCGCTGTGCTCCCTCGATACCTAACCTCTTGCCGTCCCCAGAGATAGTAGACTTCTCCATCACCTATTCCGCCTTGCCGTTCTAGTTCAGACCACACCATTTCATTTTCTTGCCCTCCGTGGTAGGGCCCTACCAAATTCACGGTCCACTTTGGTCAATTTCACGGTCATAGGATTTTAAAAATGGTTAATTTCATGATTTCAGGTATTTAAATCTGAAATTTTACGGTGTTGTAATTGTAGGGATCTTGATCCAAAAAGGGGTTGTGGGGGAAGGGGGGGTTGTATGGTTGTGTGGTGTGTGGGTGGGTGGGTGGGTGGGTTGCGGTACTGCTACCCTTATTTCTGTGCTGCTGCTGCGGGTGGCTCTGCCTTCAGAGCTGGGCAGCTGGAGAGCGGTGGTTGCTGGCTGGGAGCCCAGCTGTGAAGGCAGAGCCGCCACCAGCAGCAGCGCAGAAGGAAGGATGGCATGGTGTGGTATTGCCACCCTTCTGCATTGCTGTGTGCAGAGCTGGGCCCTCCGTCAGCAGCCGCCGGCTGCCCAGCTCTGCAGGCAGCGCAGAAGTAAGGGTGGCAGTACTGCCTCCCCCCTAAAATAACCTTCCAACCCCCCTGCAACTCCCTTTTGGGTCAGGACCCCCAATTGGAGAAACGCTGGTCTCCCCCGTGAAATCTGTATAGTATAGGGTAAAAGCACACAACAGACCAGATTTCACAGGGGCAGACCAGATTTCACGATCCGTGAGGAATTTTTCACGGCCGTGAATTTGGTGGGACCCTACTCATTAGACTTGCTAAACACCCTCCTCTCTCTCATTCCACTTTATGCCACAAAATCCAATCTCCCCTACCCACCCTCTCTGTAGACGAGACACATCCTGATTGCTATGCATGAGAGGTTCTGAGGCCACCCCCATAATCCCCGTAGGAGACGAATAACAACTGCGACCCCACCCCTTCTACACACACTATCTGTGGGACCCATTCGCCAGCAGGCTAGATAGAGCTATGATCTCACCTGCTTCACCTAGGGACAGGAGGGAATGGGCATGGCATGGGCTTATCTTTCAATCTGATTTAAGGAGCTGTGCTGTTTACCTTTACTTGTGTGCACATTCTGTGTCCGATTTGCAGCATGGTAGGGTACCGGGACACAGTTAAGGTTGCTTGTGGAATATCTGCGTCTCCTGACTTTCAAGCGTTTGGTGGGATTGGGTGATGGCACTTTAGGAAGCGCTGTTTGTTTGACTGAATGCCACCTTAAAGAAACATTTTTATTTTGGGTGTGTGTTGATCTTGGTGCTGCTTATGCACTGCGTGGTTTTCTGGTAGCCTTGTTCTCTGCCTGTAAAGCTGGAGTGTAGGCTGAGGTGCATGCAGATGTATGTTCCGCGTTTGCTGCACTTGTGGTAGACTGGGTAGAATCGGTGCTCGAAGTCGGGAGGTGAACTTCAGGATAGAACCGAGAAAGCAGGGGGAACTCGTGCAATGCGGCAGTGCCGGTCTGAGCTGTGGAGCAGAGTGCAACTCATGGGGGGGGGTGAGGATAGCATCGTGCAAATGAGCTGCAGGAGTGATCCAATCACACCTTCCATTTAATAGCACTTGGCATCTTTCACAGTTGATTTTCCTTTATCCCTCACGTAATCTTCTGGTGCTCCTGGTTTTGGTTCTTTTGCATTCTATTCTTAATGCAGTGAAAGCGTGAGGAACTTTTATCCTTTAAATTCAGCTAATTGTCTTTACACTGAACTACTTCCCCGGGGAAGGGGAGGGAGGAGGCAGCAAGGGGAGAACCAGAGCTCAGTTCCCGGAACTGGCAGTAATGGGGAGTAAGAGATGCTCCCGATAGGAATGGATAAACATCGGGGATTGCCTGTAAGGTTAAGAATGGGGATACATTTGATGGGTACATGTGGCTGTATTTCTGTTCATTGGGGTATGAATACAATCCATGAATACAGTGCAGCAATTACCCAAATCCAACTTCTGCTGCTAATGTTCCCCGCTCAAGGGCATCTTTAATAGCAAAATAATACTTGTTTTTCCCCCTCACTGTTTTTCCTAATCTCTCCCCAATGAGACATAACATTAATTACCGCAGTTAGAGGGAATTCAGTCTCCATTACTGTCTGCCACCCCTTTCGTCTTGGCTTGAGCATCCAAAATTCATCTCCTGAATGAAAAGAGGGGAGGGAAATATGCAGGACTTTTTTTTTTTTTTTTTGCAGTGTCAAGTAGAAAGGAATCAATATTTTTGTCATTACGCCTGTTGTGTTTTTTTCCATAATCTTCGCTGTCATTTGGGTTTAATTGTGTTGTTTCCTCTTGTGTGGAAGTAAATCTTATCTGTTTTGGATTAAAATTCAATGAAGGTCACAGCGGCTCAAAAACTTACCAGGCTGCAGCAATTAATGTTCATTTGGCTTTGATAAATTGGAATGTTCCTCACAATAGGACTGGAGTGGATTTCACAAGCAATAATTCTTCCATTAACTCAATGATTCCGTGCATGATGGAGCATCTTGTCACTGCTCTGTTTGTCATCTGTCACTTCAAGGATCTGGGCATATGCCTGATATGATTTATCATGATTATTGGGGCTGCTTGTGTCAAAACATTTAAAACCACTAATTAT